CTCTCCTGATGGGCTATTGTATTGTGACAGCTGGCGCCCACTGCTGTCAGAATAAGCGAAGAGTGACTGTAGCTAATTGGCTGCAGTCACTGTTGAGCAGACAGGTTTGCAGCCAGTTGCTTTGACAAAAGTTGATGAAATAAATGACTTTTGCCAAGCCGAAGCCGGGTGGTTCCAGCTCAGCCACACACAGCAGCAGAAGAATACAATTCAAGCAGTGTATGACCAGCTTTAGGCCACTCGAGAAGCTCCTGGGCAGAGAAGCAAAACTTGTTTAGCTACACTGTGAGGTATGTCATTGCCACAAAACTAACATGCATACCTGGAGTTAGGAAAGGCAAGCTTTCATCTGAGGCTTTTCTCACAGGTGCAAAAAATGCAACTTTAAAAGTGTTGCAAAATGGATTTAAAAAAAAGAGCGTTTAGAAATAAAAGGCGCCAAATTAAAAAGGCAAAAGTGTCAAAAAGTGCCTTTAATTGTTCACAATTAGATCAAACAAACACAGCCAACGTGTTTCAGGGGCAGCAATACTTCTCCTTCATCATGGCTTAGAATGGGTTAAGGATTTGATTGGACTCTGCTGCCAATTGCAATTCCAGGCCTAAAGGTGGCCATACACTGTACAACCATCGCAAGACCTTAGTCTTGCGATGGTTTTAAAGTGATTAAAAAAACGTACGATCTGCCCATCTTGGACAGGCAGATCGTACTCCCGATCATCGCAAGCCCGCCCTCCTGAGGGGCGGGCTTCCGATGACCGCAATGCTGAACGGGCAGTGTGCGCGTGCGCACACCGGCCCGTTCGGCATTTGTCTCCCGAGCACCGTTCAAACCAGCCGAAAATCGTACGATTTTCTAGCGTGCTCCTTAGACAAAAGACGTGCGACCGTACAGTAGCAACGGTCGCACGTCTCCGTTCACACTGCTCGATTCTCGTACGATCGCTGGATTTCCCGTGATTCTCGTACGAGAATCAAGCAGTGTATGGGCACCTTTAAGGTGATCATTATATGGAGTCATGTATGGACCCATTTAGTTATCGTATCTTCTGAGATCTACATAGCCCTGCTGGCCCCCAACCTGATGACTGGACAGGGAAAGAGCAGCAGCAGACGGATGAAGTTATCTCCCTGCTCACTCTATGCATATCAGCATGTTCCTTGTCAACACATTTGCATGCAACACACCTCATCGGCTCCCAGTCCAGCCCCTCCTTTCCCAGTCTAAGTGCTGCTGTATTGGGGATTGGAAGGGGCTGAAAGTCAAATTCAGGTACTTGCACCAGTTGCGTTTAATAAATGATTTATTAATGAATACATATATTAGATGTGCCTGGAATTCAGCTTTAAAAATCTCGGGTTGTACCATGTGCCAGTTTCAGCCAGGAAGTCTGTGTTTAGTGGGGATGGAACATACATGTAAATGACACTATGATGATTGACAGTATAACATACACACTTCAATGTAAACAATGACTTATTTATCTTTTAAAAACTGATATGCCGGCATTTAAGTAGATCAGCGCACATTTTCTGTTCGCAATAGGAGGCATTTGTGGGCGAGCGAGATATATTTTACCAAATGTGTGGGTACTTTGGAGTGTTGGCTGTGTTTGTATAGCAGCCGTATAAGGGGCTGTGTGATTGTTATTTGTAAGGGATTCTTATACGTGATACAAAAGTAGGACGCTGGAATTAAATCTAGAAACCGCAGACTTCTACACACTCATATGACACACCGTCTGGTGTTATTACAGATCAGGGTGTTTAATCCTTTATGCATGATTTCATCTACTGGAGGTGATATCCACAAGCCATAACTAGTCAGTGAACTGCATCCAATTGCTCATTAGTTTTATTGGTAACTACATTCTTCCAAAGAATCAATGACAATATTGCTAGCCTAAACTAAAGCCTGAAAGATCTATAAAGTGACGTCAATCGTGTATGATATTCACACGTTTTGTTGTGTAGATCGAATTTCTTAAAGAGATATGGTCAATTTGCCAATGCAGGGAGAGTGACAGTGCTTCTGGAAAGAGAATTCCAACCCGCATACGTTATGGGGATTGGGAATATACCTTACCCTTGTAGATGCCTGCATCTCTGCGGCTGGTGAGAATACCAAGCATTTCCAGGTTTGGAGAAATATGCGACCTGCTCTCCTGTGGCGGTACCTGGATCTTGAATCAATCTCTTGGTCTGGGCTCTGTCATATGACTGGTGGCTTCACATCACTGCTCGCCAACACATATGGCTGCTGAGGAGCAAGGAGCTGCAAAGGGACACTGCCACCTTGCCCTACATGCCCTAGTAACCACAAGAAACGATCTCTGGAAGGGGAACACATCTAGCTATATAATGTGACGGGGCCTTTAAACTTTTCCTACTGTGATTAAAACTAGTAAAAGGTTTAGTGTGTACTGCATAAATAAATGTGTAAATCTCACTAATCTCTGTTCAGCTGTAAGGCCCCACCTAGCACTTCCTTCTCTGCTCCTTTCATATCCCTATAAACCTCTGTTTATGAATTATTCTCAAGCCATTGTACTGACTGTGGCTCCAGCAGGACCCAAGGGAGGGAGTGCTTGCCGCAGCACCTATCAGATGAACTAGATCATGGATGTTAACAGAACTCCATTAAATCTATTTCCTTCTTCTGGTCTTAAAGTTGAACTGTGGTCAGGCTATGGACATTCAAATATTTATATATTTTTAACAAGCAGTAAGGATGTACTGTACTGCGGCGCATGTTTTGAGACACAAGATGAACCGGTCCCTGCTGCCTGTCTCTTATCCTCTGGTCCAATGATGGAATGTCTCCCGGTGTACTCACGTCCTATACACTATAAAGGATGGTATAACTCACAGGACCTTAGATGGCCGGAGCGCAGGGGGGGAGAGAGGCTGCAGGGTTTGGTCAACAACCAGCCTATGAGCTTCAGGCGAGTATAACTGTTTTATTTTCATGAAATAAAAATGAGCATGTAACCCTTTAAATGCAGGGATAGCCCCACTGCAATGGTTAAGAATAATTCTGCCTGGAGTTCTTCTTTAATGGGGGGAAATTTAGGTCCTGCTGCACTCTTTTTGCAGTACTACAATGCATATAATGCACTGTAACACAGGTGTGTTGGGGTGTCATTCAAAATTAATTGCGCAACAACACACCAATACTCTGCTGCCACGTGTTGCAGTAACGTTTGTGTTGTACTGCAATGTGGGTATTGTGAACAAGGTTTAAATGTGCTTTAAAACAACACATCACTGACCACTGTAGCTGTAGGTACTGAAGAACAATTCATCCTCAAAGTTCACAACAGAAGTGCTGAAATTGTTCAGGTGAGTCTAAGGCTTCATTCACACAAGAAAATGCCGGTACGTACAGCTCCATGCTGCTTTCACGGCCGTATCGGTGGGATTAGTACGCAGCCCCTGTCATTCTCTATGGGAGTACGTGGCCATACACCGCCCTATGCTCACCCCCCCTGCACGTCTGTGCGGGTGTCCGTACTCATACGCTGACAAGATGGATTCTGTCTGCGTCCGAGCCGGGACACCCACACCCGTACAGACCTGCACTTGAGGTGAGCATAGGGCGGCGTATGGCCGCGTACTCCCATAGAGAAGGATAGGGGCTGCGTACTAATCACACGCAGCACCTGTCCTTCCCGGGAGCTGCCCGAAACGGCCGTGCACGCAACACAGAGCTGTACGTGCCGGCCTTTTCTCGTGTGAATGAGGCCTAAACATTCTACTCTACCTCTTCCAGAGAATCTGCTCTGTGTTAACATTAAATATTAAAGGCATAGTTCACCTTTTACAACAAATCTATTAAATGCACCCACATAAAAAAGATTTATGCATTCAAGCCTGCAGAGCATTACAACCACGATCAGCATGTTGCAGGGGCATTGCACGGACTCCTGCATAGTTTACCCCCAGCCCAAGACCTTCTGTCATGGGACTGGAGGAAGTAAACAATAGACGGCAAGTGCGGTGGCATCTCAGGACTTGTGCTGGTACCATCTGTGAGTCCCTGTGCTGGGAGATGGGACTTGTGGTCTTCCCATTCATAGATCCCTGTGAATTAATGATGCAGCCATACTAAATTAAAACAGGACACGCCAGGGAGAAGCACCCGGCAATTCAGGTAAATGGGGAGAGGGGAGCGATTTAAGGCTTGGGTAATGCAGCCATTTTTCATGTTACGCCCTATATACAGTATGGGTGTATCATGAAACATGGTCAGAAAGGTAGAATATGCATTTAAAAGCTGTCAGGCTACCACCCCACGGGTGGAAGGGGGAGCAGAAGGAGCGGAGTTGCTAAAATAAACGTGAAAGTGTTTCTGCCGTGAACATTGACGATGAATTAGTTCACAGTTCCTACAGCTACAGAGCTTTGTGAGGACTTAAAGCAAATTTACTGTTTCTTAAGAATATGTAAATACTTCATGTCTATAGCATAGCCACAGGCCTACTTTCTTGACTCTTCTGTCCCAGGTATGTATTTTTTAATAATCATTGAGGACCTATTCACCCTTTTTTGGTATGGTGCAGTAAAGCGTGTGTATTAATGCAACACACCAAGACGGACAAATGTGAATGGGCCCTAAAGGGTACCTTCAGATTTGTAAATAAGAAAAAAAGGGCCCCCACCTGCATCAATAAAATGAATGAAAAAAAGGATATTTTATGCAGTATATGTGAGTTTACCGCACCAGGGACCACACACTTGTCTCTTCTTTCCTTTATGAATATTTGCCATATGTGCTGTACTGAGGGGGTTAGTGGCCATTTACCATAAATGATGGCAATTCCTTAGCATTTACCCATAACTGAATCATTATTGTATGTAGACTGACACTTTATATAAACATATTGAGGAAAACAATGGGATTTGAGGACTTTTCCAGTGAAAATCCCACAATGTGAACTGAGATTACCACCATTTTCTGTTTTGCAGTACAATTGAGATTTGTGTTCTTTGTTTTGTAGACAGAGCTTTTTTGATCTTCTGAGCCTGGCTAGTTCTCGGAGTTGTTCCTCAGATTTCAGTGGGAGTATCAGAGGTATGTGTTCTTTATATCATTCTGTGAGGAGGAGAAGAGATCTCTGTGCTCTGTATCAAAAAGTTATGGCACATGTTCCTGTGATTTTCTGAATAATGTTACCTTGTTTGTCTTTATTTACACTCTGCAGCAAGACAAATGTAGTAAGCTATAACAACCGGTCAGAATTCTTCTGTAAGGTACAGTTATTGGGCTCTCCCATTCATCTCTTTAGACCTGGAGGATATCCAAATGTAAGCACAGCCCAGGACAGCAGAAAGCAAGGCAATATAAAGTGTTAGTGATGCATCTGAGGTGTGCTTTGTGGTAAACAGGTTTTGGGGGAATGGGGAAGAACTGTACAGAACTTTTAATATAACTATGCACTTTAACAGTACATAGTTATATCTACTATATAAAGCAAAGGTGAGCGTGTTGCCTTTTTAACAAAGATCGGTCAAAGCCACCCTGTAAAAGAATAAGTGATGAGCGTAATCCTCACAGTTTTTAAAATCTCCGGGTGCTTCCAGGTATACTGGATAGTATGTTCCCCACTTACCGCTGTAGGTTCTCCTGCCAACCCCTAAGTCTCTACAGAGAACAGTGGCTGGAGGAACTACAGCTGCTAACAGGGAGCACCTTGTTGAACACATCCAGAAGTGTTGGATAGTGCCTGAAACATGCACTCAAAGATTTGGCTCACCACCCAGCAGAAAGTTAAGTACTTATTCTTTTACCCGTGGCTTTGTTCTATCTCTATCTACCTGTGAATTAATTTAGCTTATTTGACACAATCCTATTAATGTTTTAAAAACCTTATTAATGATATATGTACACGTGGGCATCAATAATGGTTGTTCCTTGCCAATCCTTTTTATCTCCCTTCTAATCCCCCAGACAGGTCTGTTTGAAAACAATAGACTCTCGGCAGATTCTAATGACCTGAAACACCAATATTGCTCTTGGTAACCAGAGACCACTTCATGTTAGGGGTTGCTCAGCAGCAGGGGTATAGTGTATCTATTAAAAGAAAGAGGTGTTTTCTGGAAATAATAATGGGATTGTCATGTAAAGTCTGAATTGTGAAGATAGGTCCGATTTGCATTAAGTGAAATGTGATTGCTTTACTTGGGTAACAACACTTTGTTCATCTTTATTGCTCTGTACACTTCTTAGTAAGTACCATTGGTCTGCGTAGTCATATCTTAACTGGATTTATTGCTACCTACATGGGCAGTTTATACATCTGTATACTGTATGTTGGATACATGTTACTAGTCCGATGTTGTTAGGAAGTATTTTTAAATATTTCTTCTAGGTAGCAAGTTAACTTGCTTTAAAGTGGAAGTAAAGTGTCTTTTCCTAAAAAAAACCCTGCAGTGGTTTTAGCCATGCTGTTCTAGTATGAACAGAATATTAGCATATTATGGCTGACTTACCATGTAAGCAATCCCTCCAGCTCTGCACTGTCCGCTCTCCCCTCTCCACCGCCAATTCCATGTTTACCTCGTCTTCTTCTGGGTTCAGCGTCTTTGTCCTCTTGATGATGATACTACTCCTGCACATGCGCATAGGAGTTACTTCACTTCAGCACAGGACCTTGGCCCTTTCAAAATAAAACAACATTCCTGACAGGCAGGTAGCAGTTTTTTGGGCAGAAGGGGCTTATGCAGTAAATTGTAAAGAACAGACAACTTTGAACAACATTTTCCCACTTCGGTCTTAGTAGGTAGAGCGAGGTATATGTTATATTATATTATAGGTTGCTTGCTACTTCATAGGTCCAGAAGATGCAATTACCTGAGTCATGTGTCAGTAACTAGACGCAGAGACCTGTAGAAGGATGACAATTTGCCATTATTTATGAGACCCAGGCAAAGCTGCAGTTTAAATGCTTCACCACCTCGTGCTTAAGCGTAGTGATTTTCAACTAACCGTGCAACCCAAAAACGCAGCTCAGCAGATATAGCGTAAACAAGCCCTACGTTTTCATTGGCTCACAATGGTACACCTTGTGCACACCGAGGTAGTTAAAACTGAGCATACAATGAAATGATGCACCTTCAGTGAAAGCAATCGGGGAATCCAAAGATTTAGCTGAACTTTCCTGTTTGAGCTTGAACATGCCGCTTGTGCTTTCTAAGCCTCTGTAATGGTCCATATAGTGGGTTTATTGACTAATAGGAAGCCCTTTGGGTTGAGCATTATTTATTATACTTTTCAGTGCTGTCATGTTGAAGGGACTAAATGGAAAACTCCAGTGGAAACACAGACCTCAATAAAAAGCTGATAGAGGTTCAAGCCTTCCCCTCCTCTGCTTTTTTTTTGTTTCATTTTTGTTGTGTTCTGAACAGAAATTTCCCCTTACTCCTTGTTCTGATGGCAACATTCCACCACTAAAAAAATTAGGATGGAGTTCCACTTTAAAATTTAGTTTGCTTCACCTACAAAATGGGTCTTATGTAGGATAAAAGTCTCTTCTTGTACTAGTGGTCTCCTGAGATTTATGTCGCCTGCAGTGTGGTAGACTATGCAAGACTGTTATATTCGATGATAAAGGGGAAAAGGTAATTAAATATAACTGAGAAGATGAAGAGCCCGCAGTAATTATGTTATAGTTAGAAAATGCTATAAAGGTCAACTTGCACTTCTAAAGTGCCTGCTGACTCCCACATTGGACAGATTAGCTCCTGAATGTTACATTTAATTAGCCTGTATCTGAGGTAATCAAGCACTGCATTGATAGTAGCGCTTTGAAGGATGGATAATCTTGCAATTGGCACAATCTGAGTTTGCTTTTTGTTTGAAGATCATAAATATTGTTCTTTTCCACTAACAGGATAAAACTACAGAAAGTCATAAGTATACTTTGACTTCAAGAGTGGTTTCCAGCCAGCTGATTGCAGAGTTGGGTAATGGCCCATGGGCTGGCTGTGAATCTGAGTTCGCCTAAAGGTGGCCATACACTCTACAACCATCGCAAGACTTTAGTCTTGCGATGGTTGTAAAGGGATTAAAAAAACGTACGATCTGCCTATCTTGGACAGGCAGATCGCACTCTCGATCATCGCAAGCCCGCCCTCCTGAGGGGCGGGCTTCCGATGACCGCAATGCTGAACGGGCAGTGTGCGGGGGCGCACACCGGCCCGTCCGGCTTTTATCTTACGAACATGCCACACACACGGCGACAATCGTACGATGCTCAGCGGGTTTTCAAACATGTTCGTAAGTTAAAAGTCGTGCGACCTTACAGTAGTAGAGGTCACACGGCTTCCACACACCTTACGATAATCGTACGATCGCAGGATTTCCCGCCATTATTGTACGATTATTGTAAGGTGTGTGGACACCCTTAAGGTGCCCATACACTGCACGAGTATCGTACGATAATCGTGCAGTGTATGGGCACCTTAAGGGTGTCCACACACCTTACAATAATCGTACAATAATGGCGGGAAATCCTGCGATCGTACGATTATCGTAAGGTGTGTGGAAGCCGTGTGACCTCTACTACTGTAAGGTCGCACGACTTTTAACTTACGAACATGTTTGAAAACCCGCTGAGCATCGTACGATTGTCGCCGTGTGTGTGGCATGTTCGTAAGATAAAAGCCGGACGGGCCGGTGTGCGCAAGCGCCCACTGCCCGTTCGGCATTGCGGTCATTGGAAGCCTGCCCCCTCAGGGGGGTGCGGCTTGCGATCATCGCAAGTACGATCTGCCTATGCAAGATAGGCAGATCGTACGTTTTTTAAAAAAAAGTCTGTGTGCCTAGCATAAGCCGGCTCAAAACTCTGACCACCACCCGCTCCTCCTGACCCAGTCAGCCGCGGGGAGGCGCATTCCCTTGCTCGCAATTACTGTATACGTCACATAGGGGCAGGGAACGCCCCCATGGCAAATGCCACCACAGATTGAGTAGTGAGGAGGGGGTGGCGGTCAGAGTTTTGAGTGGGCTCAGGTGAATTGGGTTCACACCAAGCCCAGCCTCATCTCTAAAATTGGCACGTACTGTTGGATAATCTTCCTCCAGTGATGAGGGGATCCCTCTAGGGTTCTGTGAAAGACTGATTTGCACATCAATGATCCATTGCACTTCATTCCATCCATAATATGAATATAATCTGAACTTTTTTTTGTGCTCAAAAAAAAGTTCATATACTTTTCTACAGGACAAGCAGCAGCCCGACGCTCATGTGTGAATGGGTACCATTGAATATAATGGAAATCTTCACGTTGAGCATTGTCACGCTTTGGGAACCGCACAAGAAATTGAACAGCCTCAATCAGTACTTGAGTGCAAGTCAGTTTATAAAGGTTCACTTTGGTACCTCGAATTTACTGTTTGGTCTCTTTTTTTTTTTTTTCCAGTAGTGTGAAACAGTAAATATTGTCACCACGTATCTTGTGAGACGTCTAGTCATTTGTGTGACAGTCATTTCCCATAACTTCACAAGAGATGGAATTTCCCCGCTCCAACAACACCAGTAAAGGGACTGCAAGCAGTCACAGACCTCACAGATACTTACAGAGTTTATTGTAAAATTTAAAGGGGTATGATTGTAAAAGTGTTAAGCGTGGACGTAAACCCAAAGTCGGCTGTATTTATATGTATTGCAGTAACAAGCGCATTGCAACTTTGCGTTATTGCATTGCACGTGGAACTGCACAAGCTGTGTTGTGTTGTAAAGCCATTTTGATAAAGAATGCACCTTCAATGCACAGTAACTAACTGCCATGCGTTGTGGCGTGCTGCTTTACACAAAACGGTGCAGGTGCAATTTCAGGTCCATTGAAATGCAATGGCGGTCCATTGAAATGAATGGGCTGTCTTAAGACAATGCATGTTCATGTGTAACAGAACACATGTTATCTGCATTGAAATACTCAGGTGTGAGGGGTGCCTTAGTTTGCTAAAGCTCTGTGTATAATAAACAATTACCTTTTTTAAATTAAACAGTTTTTACCTTTTCTTTAATCCTTTTTTGCATCTCAGCGCTGTTGCTCAACTGCAGCCTCTTT